TGCAAACCATCTAATACTTATTAAGACGAACAGTTTACCTTGTTCACCATATTGGTTCGACTAAGGAATTTTGATTCGTATAGGTCTAATGCCCTCTTGGGTGTTATTCCACATGAAATCACTAGTTCCTGCCCATGTGGTAGTTGCACAATTGAAATTTTGTCAACACAATATCATTCGCGTTAAAAAAAGATGTGTTGTATTTTTTTGGTGACAGGAAATTAATCTTAAGCATAATCTGACCAAATCCTGTAGTTCAGCAGGCAGATAGCACACTCCTTTTCCGTCCTTAGAATTTGTCCACAACTCTTCTAGAGTCAAGTGGCAGGCCACCGCTGTTATAACCTAATATAATATGGACAAAAAACACTTCATGATACTGTAGATTTGTTATAAAATAATTCTACGTAGAAAGCATTGATAGTGGACAAACAAAACAAAATTTTGGAGTTCCGTTGATTACTTCAGCATCTACGAATGAGCGAGGGCTTAAGGACCTAATGACTTCCTGGTACAAGAGTTGTTTGAGGTTTTGACCAATACTTCGTCAGGTGGCAGATTGGCTAAAAATATATAGTGAGCAAGCTGGATTTGCTCATCATCGTATTCCATACCAGTAGGTAGCTTAAACTTCAAAACAACCTGGAATAGGGACCACAAATAAACACGAGTCGAAATGCATTCGTTATGTCTGACGGAATAACGGCAAAGAACACTTCAATGGCAAACATGACACCTTTATTACCTTGTCAACAGAACTTAGAGAAATACTTTTTCCATTTGGCTTCTTTGGTGTTACCTCAGAGTCAGATTCATCGTCCGAAATAAAAACGATGACTGAAGCAGGAGTGGATGGAGTGCTTACACCTTTGGGTAGCCTTGGTTTCTTTGTTGGAGTCACAAATTCGGCGGTCTCCTTCAATGACAGTGAACCTACGATTAATAAATTAACTAGAATGAATTTCAATGGTTAAAGAGCATGCGGCGACAGTCAGTAATCAAGAAATAAACTACAATATTTTTATTGAGTGAAAGATCCCTCACCGATATATTATTAAGATCTCAAACACTAAAAGTACAAATCTTGAAAAACAAAACAATGTACTTTCCCTACTCCCACTTTTATACTATACATATGGCAACTTTCCCCTCTTGTATATATTTTCGGAGCATGATCAACATGTACGCGTCAATATCGCACAAAAAAACCATCATATGACGTAGGGTTCCACAACACCTATTATGGAATCGTAACAACATATGATGACTTTTTCGGCAATATTCAGATGGCGACTTATTGTCATTGCTCCCCTCCCTGCCTCTAACCAAGACCCTGTATGGAGAGAAAAGAAGAAACAATAAAACGAAGGAGTTAGTTTAACAGTCATGATCTAACAATGACATAATGAAAGGAACTGAGATACAAAATAATACGCAGTCTCATCATTACCACTACACCCGAAAATAAAGCATGGGACAGGAGGACGAAGAGGCGGATGGGGTTGATTTTCAGAGTTTCATATCGAGAAGATGGGAGAAAGGGGTCTTTTCAGGGATTGAGAGGAGGAGGAACGAACAACAGCAGGAGATGAGTGCCTCTTGGGTTTCGGAGCATGGTCTCTCCTTCTTCGATTAAAGAATTTATAAATGGACTCCAAAAATTACTTTGCCTTTCCAGCCCTTCTCATTGACGGAAAATCACACTCCCTACCGCTGCCTCGACCTTGGTAACGCCAGCACTGGTTATGGGCAAATGCGACGTTCCGAAAACGGCGAAATCTGATTGGGTGACACGCCGCAGCAAGGATTGAAGCTCTTTCACCATCGGATTAAAGAAAAAGTTTAGGAATTGACGGCGGGAGATGGGGATGTGCTTTTAGACTGGCTTTGTAGATTAACTAACTTTTCGTTTAGCAAAATTAATCTACTGATTTGGTATATGTTATTGTAACCCTAAACCCTGAACCCTAAACCCTAAGGGCGATAAGGGCCCACTTTAGAAATTGCTTATTGATTGTCACCATCTCCATCCCCAACTTTTAGCAATTGCTAAAGATGAGGTGGAGCTTAGATGGCAAAAACTTAGCAATGGTTTAGGGATGGAGGAGTTCTTTCGAAACTAGCAAGATTGCTAAATTAGGAATTCTTCTAGCAATGCCACATAGATAACTATTCTCTTTTTCTATTTTATTGTTTATTAACTTTTCTTGCCCAACTAAAGTACATAGGTACTTCAAAATTGAAATTATAACTTTCTGTTCAAAACATAAATTAAAAATTGATAGTCGCTAAGTATCAAACCACAAACCTCTACTTTATTAACTCAGCAACTAAAGGACAATTAACCAATTAAGCTACATGACATTTATAATCATCATGTGAAATTTCGCTTTCTTATTAAGTGAAGGGTTAAAATGAACGGTAAATATATCATAGTGGATTGTTTTTGCTTCGTGGGGGAGTGAGAGAGTGGAAAAGGGGGAATTAATGAAGAGTTAAATTGGACGGATTGTCTTTAGCACGCCACTACAAAATCCTTCGGAGCAAAAACATGCAGGTTCAAATCAAACAATAAATGAAGAAAGATGAACTTAATAACTCTAACTAATTTTCATTCCATATGTGGCGAATCGCTAATGGCCGGGATCACCAACAAGGATAACCAACAAGGCAAAATAGATAATAGGAACTTACCTTGCACACACCAAATCATTTTATCTCGTACCGATAAATGTGTCACGCTACAATAATTATGTCTAAATTTTTTTAGTAATAAGGCATGATCAGCATTTATAAGCAGATATAAAGAAAATATAAAATCGAGAAAAAATAAAACAACACCTACCCTCACTCTTTAACCAATCAATACCATATGCTCTATACCATCAAAACCTTATAACCTACCCATATACCATATACTCTATACCATCAACAACCTAATACCCTAAGCAGTCAGTACCCATTTCCTTTAACATCAACACCTTATTCAACAATCGTATACCTATACACTGGTAAAATTTTGCATTTTGAAAATACTTGTCCAACTAAAGTACATAGGTACTTAAAAAGTGAAATTCTAACTTTCGTTTCAAAACATAAATTAAAAAAATATCTTCACTCAGTATCCAACCACAAGCCTCTAATTAGTCTACAAGAGGTTTGTTATGTACGAGTGCATTGCATAAAGAGGGGCAATCAATGAGATAGTGGAATAGGATCTCAATTAATGGAGAGTTAAATTGGGCGGATTGTAGTTTACCTCGTACCGCTAAATGTGTAAAGAGACACGCTAGCATTTACCAAATCCCAAAAAAAGATGGAACACATAATTATGTTTAAATTGCGTGAACTCAAGGCATGATCAGGATTTTAGAAGCAGAAGCAGATGAAAATAAGTAAAACCAAGAACCGCCACTGAGATAGACAATTATCAAAGGCCCAACCTAATGACAATCAGGAACTCAGTATCTATTATCAACAAACTAGGTGCCATGGGTCATGTACAAGCCCACTTTTGAATGTTATTTAAAAGCCTGCAAAAATCAATGATCAGACCCAGTCCAACTAGAATTAGTCCTAAACACACCGTTAATACATAAACACAAATTAAGGAGACCTCTCCATCCGATTCGAATCAAATTCTGTCTTCTTCATCTTCTTCCTCAATCCTCTGGGCGAGATGAACACTACATATCAGGAAACCTTAATTTCACCGAGAGATAGAAGTTATTTTGCAAATGATAATAACGCTAAGACAATATGACAAAGCACTAGCGACATGAACGCTAGGGTTAGCAAACCTCTTTCAAGGGTTCTTTTGCAAATGAAAAGTTTGATGAACACAATAATAGACATGGTCGCCGTAATCGTGTTAGAAAGAGATAGGTGACTAAATTCCGCCCGGAAATCAAATGGGGAGGAACAAAACGTCGATTTGTGGATACAAGGATTTGGGATCTTCTCTTCAAATGTGGATACATAGATTTGGGGTATGAAACATGATGATGTTGGGGATTTGAGATTGGATAGGGAGCTAAATCGAATGTGGATCAAATAATAAAAGGATTTGGGTTTCGAAACGATGATTTTTGTTGGAGATTTCAGATTTGATAGTCAGCTTATGATCGAACTTCGAACTAAGAGGGGACCCTCCAAGACGAATGAGGGATCGTAGAAGGGAGACTGGAAATTGGTTAGGGCGGCGGGTCGTATCTATAGGGTTTAACCTCTTAATCGATATAATTAAACCGGGTACAGTTAGGTTGAAGTCCAATGAAAAAAGCTTTAACGCTTCGTGATGCTTTTTGTAATTTTCCTGGCCCCCGGTTACCCGTACCCCGGATTTTGCCCTGAGCACCCTAGAACTGCCCATACATATACATATACATATACATATACATAGCATTAAATGTTCACACAAGACATCATTTAATGGTAACTGACCTACACTCAACATCTCTCTACATTCTACTTTCTATCTCTAAACAGTAAACACTAACTTGACCGTTGAAGAGTGATCTGCGGCCCGCCTCCGAATCCTTTCTGCAGGAGGAGCCAACCGCATTGCAGGAGAGGCGTGATCTTAGCAAAGGCTCCCACAATCCCGCCTGGAACATTCTAGGCTTAAACAAAGACCCTCAAGCAATTGTGCATAAACTGGAAACATGTTACACTAATGATGCTCATGGCAGGACAATTTGCGTGAAATACACACATTATATATTCAGTTATCCCAGTGCAGTTTGTGACTTTGTGTACACACCTTAAGAGTTAAGACGCCAATCGCGCTATCCATTCTGCGACAAAACAAGTATATACTATCCTAATCTTAACAATGTTCTTTACGAACTTCACCAATTCAATATGTGTCTAAGTCTGCGAGAGTGAGTGTCGCAATTGTTCTTGCATCTCTCGATCTTATCTAGTTTATGAGCAAAAATATTTATGACATAAAAAACTTGGTCTCGAATGACTCGACCGATCAACTTGATTGGGTCCATAATTTTTTTTAGATCGGGCCGGATTGGGCAAGTTCATTGGTCGAATCACCTTATTGTAATTTCACGCCGGCCCTTAGAAACTGAAGGGGGTTGTTTTAGAAAATTTCCTAATCCGACCATCGCCCGCTCCTTCGTCCTCCTCTGCACACTTCTGGTCCCCAGACTCGCCTCTGGTTAACTGACTGGTTGCCGCATAACCCTCTTCCATCCGGTCATTTATCCAGCCCGGCGACAACGCCGTTGCCGCCGCAGTTGCAACAACTTCTTCGTTTTTCATCACGTTCCAGTGACTACCTGTAGCGGGCGCGAACGGCACAACCCTCCAATTCGAGGAGAGGAACGCACAGGTCAAGCTTGGTTCTTTTTCTATTGATGACACTTAATCGTTTCGTACTCGCATTTATGATTGCTACGTGTTCTTGTATCGATTTGGCAGAGTTGTTTCCCCTGGCTTTCTGCTTCTTCTATTCGTCAATTGTAGCGTAGGAAGGGGACACCAATGGCATTGTCAATTGCCCAATTCACTTTCTTCACCAGAGCAGCATCCTCCTCCTTTCTCCACCGAACCAATGCCCGCTTCAATCACTTCACCTTCTCTACGCCCTTCTCCACTGCTGCTGCTACTTGCACTCGCAAAAAGAATGGGAGACTTTCTGTCTTGTCAGCACTCGAACTGGGTGGAGTCAAGATTGCTAGAGATGGTATGCTTAAAGTTTTTCTCTTTTAGCTGTTGAAGTGGTTATTTTGAATTCTGATGTTTTGGGCTTGTTTAATTTGTTAAATGTCCTGGCCCTTTGTAGACGTGGTGAGGGATGATCCAACAAACAATGTGCCCGATTCGATTTTCTCGAAACTTGGTATGCAACTCCATAAGAGGAACCAGCATCCGATTGGCATATTGAAGAACGCGATATATGAATACTTCGACGCCAGTTACTCCACCAAGTTTGATAAGTTTGATGATCTCTGCCCTCTCGTATCTGTCAAACAGGTTTTAGTTTGTAGTTTTTGTGCTGCAATTCCCATTACAAAATTGAGTTAGCTTGTACTTGAATAGCATGAACTTTTTTTCCTTTTTCTCGCAGAATTTCGATGACGTCCTGGTTCCTGCTGATCACATATCGAGGAGCTATAATGATACTTACTATGTTGATTCGGGTACTGTTTTGAGGTGCCACACCAGTGCGCATCAAGCAGAGTTGTTGAGGGATGGACACACGCATTTCCTTGTAACTGGAGATGTTTACCGTAGAGATTCTATTGATTCAACTCATTATCCTGTTTTTCATCAGGTCTTCTGGGCTCCCATTTTCTGCAATCTCCTAACTTTTTTTTCTTCCTTTGTTTTTAGGTTGTTGAAACATTCATTCATATATTCGTATGTTAAAATGCAGATGGAAGGGTTTCGTGTGTTCTCACCCAAAGAGTGGGAAGCCTCGGGGTTGGATGGCACATCTTATGCTGCTGAGGATTTGAAGAAATGCCTTGAGGGGCTAGCTAGACACTTATTTGGTAACACTATTTGTCATCTTCTTTATCGTGAATAACTGTAATGGATAATAGTATAAACAAAGCCAATTGCTGCTTTCATTGATACTAGAGGATTGTTTAGTTATTTGCCTTGACAGCTGTTATATCGTCAATAAGCTGAGTCCATTTAATTGATAAATATGGCGACCCTGTTTTCTTGATTGTTAGGTTCCAGATTTCAGTGCTAGGACTATATAGGGATATGCTCAGATCCAATGGCATTCACTGTTTTGGATTTTCTGCATATCTGTGGTTAACTTCATGCTAACTTGGTACTGATAATTTTTGTCAATTTAACAATGAGAAACTAAATTAGTGTCAGTCTTTTGATTTGTAATGTCTGGACTTGCTTCTCCAATATACAGTGGTGTTGTTTTTTCTACTTTCTAATAATTTTTACGATCCTAACATTTTTTTTTTAATACGTTCCTATCATATAACCAACAACCTCCTTCAGTTTTGATGTAACTTACTGTACAGGTTTGGCTATTGCTAAGCGGCCTTCAAAATCTGCTTTGCTTTCATTTTATTGACTGTTAAGATTTTACTGGTTCACTATGATAGGTATTATGTCTTGTGAGGTGATCTGTAAATGCTTTATGCTGATTTCTGAATCACCCAGTCTTTAGCACAAGTTACTAATTGTCCTTAAAGGTTGTTTGCTTGCTTTTCTGGTTTCTATATCTGTTGATCCTCATCTAGCAAATTTGTTTTGAATTTACAGGTGCTGTGGAAATGCGTTGGATTGATGCATATTTCCCATTCACGAATCCATCTTTTGAACTTGAGATTTACTTTCAGGTATGCCCTCAATTCTGTACTGTAATTACTGAACTCTTGCTTCTCCATACATTGATTTTTCTTCTTCTTCTTCTTCTTCTAAGTCTCCATGGATTGAATTATTATTGTAGGAGAATTCCAGTTCAATACTATCCTTAGCTACATGAGGAGAGAAGAAAATAAATTCAATCCCTTTTTAAGAGGGACAGAAGTGATGCGTTCTACAATACTAAGTAAAACTTTGAGACATTAGTAGACTTTCAAATGTTCTGAATCCATTAACCATATCTTAAAGGGGAGAAAAAAGAAGGAAGGAATCCAAGGATCTTCTTAGCTTGTATCTTCTGTGGTAGAGCATATATTGCTAGAAAATAGTGTGATATTGCCAGTATGGGACCTGCATCTGTTTCTCACTACTAAAAATTGGGCAATGCTTTTTTCAGGAGAAGTGGATGGAAGTATTAGGCTGTGGGGTTACTGAACAAGAGATTTTGAGGAACAATGGTCAACTTGATAGTGTTGCTTGGGCCTTTGGGCTTGGATTGGAACGACTGGCTATGGTTTTGTTTGACATACCTGATATTCGGCTTTTCTGGACGACCGATGAGCGGTTTACATCTCAGGTACGGTTCTAAATGTTTTGATTGATTTAACAATTAGAATGCTATAGATCTCTCTCTATCAGTGCTACCTAGGTCGTAATGCCCCTGACTGACTACACTGAGCTCTATCTACACAGTTCACTAAGGGGAAAATGGGGATTAAATTCAAGCCATTCTCAAAGGTGATAGTTTCCTTGCATCTTTATCTTCTGTGGATGTTGGATTTTCATATAAACACGCTTAACTTGAGCATCTGCCTTACAGTTTCCTCCATGTTACAAAGATATGAGCTTTTGGATCAATGAATCGTTCACGGAAAACAATTTGTGTGAAGTTGTCAGAGGAGTGGCTGGGGATCTTGCTGAAGAGGTACTGACACATAACTTCTTGTTCATCTATGTTATTAACACTTTGTGTTTATTTTCCATTTCCCTTGATTTCTGAAACCCTCTCTATCACCCTTAAATAATATTTCAGTTATAGAATTCAATATCGTCAACTCTATACTCTAAATATGTTCACTTGGTTGATTGTGTTAGGTGCAATTGATAGACAATTTTACAAACAAGAAGGGAATGACAAGCCATTGCTATAGAATTGCGTACCGGTCCATGGAACGATCACTTACAGATGAAGAAATCAATGAGTTGCAGGTAAGAGTCACAGTATGACCAACTTTGTTTGTGCATTTTGAATTCTCTATATGGCTAGAAGAACTGATGAATGCTACACATCCTCTGCATATTTTACTGACTACAGAGAAAAGTGAGGGAACAAGTAGAAACAAAGCTAAATGTTGAACTCAGATGAGAGATCTCTGTCTGCACCGATGATATTCTTCGGGGGAGTACCAGCTGCTAGGGAAACCGGTGTTTACGAAATCTGTGTATCTATCGTCACACAAAGAGATGTAAACTCCTTGGCAGCAACACAAAAGAAAAAATAAACATGTATTGGCTGCCAACAAGATCCACTTTGTATCTTCACAAAGTTCTGCATTTACCATATGAGGAGGGGCCTGGAGGTTCGCTTTCGATTTCTGTGTTGTAACGGTGCATCTTTGATTTCACTTTTGTTTCTTCAGTGCCTTATAGCAATTCAATATTTATGTTCTGTACCTTACCATAGCTTGCTCCTTTTGGGAATAAGATAGATAGTATGCACCATCGAGAAGTGAAAAGAAAGGAAATAATAAACCAAGTCTCTTGCAGATATGAAAACAAATAAGAAACTTGCTCGTAGACTTATTTTTCAGTGGCGCACCCATTTCCATGGTTCGGGTTAAGCTATGCTCTTAATTAAGTAGATAGTAACAAGTTAACCGGCCACTTTCAACAGAAAACAAAATTAATGAAGTTTCTTCCGACACCATCACTCATTTTAATCATCATCGTCTATTGCATTCTTATCGACACGCCAAAAAGTATTCAACTTCATCAGCAAGGAACTCATCAAAGAAGAAAGGAACATTGAAGTATAACTCTTACATCAAATGCCAGGAACCCTGTTACCCACAGTCAACAACCGTAGAACCCCATTCAACAAATGGGTCAATTCGGCAGAAGACAACCTCAAATGGTTTGAAGTTTGAACCCTCGTACAAGGTTCCTGACTGAAAAGTGTGCAAAGCATCAGCGCACGTGGCATGTAACATGTCGTGAAATGATATCATTCCGAACTCAGATGCTTTCGTAAGTAGACCATCATCATTAACTTCCATAACATGAAACCGGGCTCCTCTCTATGCGCTTCTAGGCTTCTTCGCCTCCACCTCGGCTACAGAGGCCAACTGTGCATTATCCTATGGAATCATGCAGTTTCTTCACTTCGAAATTGGAGCTCGGTAGAGGGTTGAACTCATTAACGAGTTGATTTCTGACTATTAAGAAAGTTCCTCCTTGTTGAACTTGTTCCATGCTTCCTGTTCCCATACAAGACAACACAAGAACCATGCATATAAATTTCGGCTGATACAAGTATGCAGGCGCCATTAAAAAGTACAGCTGTTTATATTGATACTTTCAGAGCTTTTTCATAGACAACGCCCATTATGTGTCGATCTTTTTCTACTCCTATATCACCAACTACAAAATTTACTTGAACTATAGAACAAACAGCTAGTAAGAAACAGCAGGAGTCCAAGTTGTAGCAAGAAATTTATGAGCCTTGGTCTAACTAAGTCTACCACCTAGCTCCTACAAGTCTACAACAGAAGGATTAAGATGGTGATCATAGGCTAATAGCTTTACTTATCCACCATGTCATGTCAATTTTTTGTTTTTTTTACTGCATTGTTCCATTCTTATCTGTTTGAGGTGTTGCTCTATGTAGCAGGGTTCTTTGCTAACATGCTGGCATATTTTTCATTGCTAACTTGACATGATTTATGGATAGATTTCATCTGCTATTTTGTAGGATATGCCGTTTCCCCGATTATCTAATGTGAATAGAGTACTAGTATGATCGGAAAAGAGGATGTATTCTTTTATGTACTAAAGGCATTACAAGCAGATTTTATCGACTGAGCCTAGACCTAATGTAACAAACCATTGCCATAATTAAAAGGAGAGAACCAGTAACCCGGCCTAACATCAAAATCTGCACCTGCATCAGGGTCCAGAACAGTTAGGGGGTTGTTTGGATACAGGATTTGCCTCATGGATTTAGCACAAAAACCTTAAGAAAGGGTTTCTTCTGAAAACCTTCTTTAATGGAGCAATAAAAGGGCACCAAATACATGAAGATGGAAATCCATGGTTTAAAAAACCCACCTTATATGATTGTGAAATCCATCCCTAATATTGTCTATTTTGTCATCTATTTTTTTTGTTAATTCCATATTGCAGGGAAGAAGAGTATCGATAGAGCAATGATGACAGTATAAAGGAAAATTTACTTTTAAGTCGCAATCGCACTGTTAAAATCAAACATCCGAACAATAAAGTTTTAAAATCCAAAAATGTCACTTTTAATTCTTCACAGTCCATCATTTTATCTGACCTGGAAGCTAAACGACCCCTTAAGCACAATTGCATTAGACTAAGATAATTGGAAGTATTCATTATGCATGATAATGACTATTTGAAACGACTACATCAAGGCTGACAACATACCTTGAGGATATCAAAGACCTTCTCAGCGATGTATTTCTGTTCAAGAGTTGCACCTTTCTGTTGAACCTTATCAGGATGCACACACAAAGTCGCTTTCCTATACACTTTTTTGACTGAGGACGATGTAATCAGATCAGTCAGAGAGACAGGCTGCCAACCACATTCATTCCAGAGCACCTGCGGATCCACATCTTTAACATGTTAAAACACATTGACACAAACCCATGTTAATTTTACAACTAGTCAACCACAAATCACAGTCATGACTTAATTCTCCAATGGTCAGCAGTTGATGCTTCTCTTTCAGATTTTAATTCTGAGACACTATCTTTGTCTCTCTCCAAGTCTTGGGCATATGTTGTACGTTCATATCCACTAATACAATCGCTATCCTCTACCATTTTGTTAGCTATGCAGTATGCAGTAATCCTAGATTAGAACTTACAATCCAATCAAACAGATCATTCTGATATACTCGAAACACATCCAAAGGTCAATATAACAAAAAATATGCCATAAATAGCCCTTATTTTAGTAATGTTAAATGGAAAAGAAAGAGGTTATGAAATGACACACGTACATATTGCAAAGATGACAAAAGGGCCCGCATATTGCCTTCCTTCCCAGCAGCCCACCTCTTTATATCAAGATCCATTTTCTCAGCAATCATCTGCATTATTTATGTGAGTGATCAAGAATAAAGTGACCAGTTTGCTTACATAGGAATAACACTGCTCTGTGGAACTTTAAAAGACCTCAGGATATGGTCTATCAACTAGATTGCTTCTCATTGTGCAGGTGACATTATGTCGATTTATAACTAACAATCTCCACAAGAATACACAAAACATTGATGTATGCCAGGGAAAAACCATGAAATAGTATCCAAAAGTCTTAGCGCATGAGATTTTAAATGCATATTGAAGACAACAAGACGATTAACTTACCTTCCTCTCTTCTTGTTCACGTTGAGTATGGTAGTCACGTTGGTTCATGTCAGCAACTGCCTTTGCCTGCATGCATAACAAAGTTAGAGAGATCTGCATCTCAACTCAATGTTTCTATGTAATAACAGTTAAAAGGAGGACACTATCTAGCAGAAAAACAAAACATTATACACAACTCCAATAAAATGTTGTTTATAGAGAACAATCCAGCAAGTACTCGATACGGAAGCTCGGGACCTTATGAGAAGCTAAAATAAAATTACCACAATTAATTCATAGTATAACATAAAAAATAGAAATAAAAACATTTGGCAGAGAACAAAAAAGTGCTAGTCTGAGAAAGGCGCACCACTCGGTCTTGTGTCCTCTGGTGACGTTCAAACCTTGCTTTTCGTCTTTCTTCAGTTTCTCCTTGAACTTCTTCAAACTCTCCAGAGAAAGAGGTGTCTTCCAGAATCAAGTGATAAACATATTAGTAAGGAAAATAATTCAAACTAAGAAAAAATTGTATAATATAATCCCAGATTTTTTCAAAAGAAACATACCTCCAAAAAGGGAGGAAAAGTCGTCGAACATATTAGTTGCGGAAGAAACCTTCTTCATTCCAGATGAAGAAACGCCAGAAGCCTTTCCATTCGGAACTTGAGGTTTACCTCTGTTGTTCAGGGTTGCATCAAATAGAGGATCCTAACAAGTATGAAATATATGACAAATGAGTTATAATGCAGATGAGGCAGCAGGATACTGAACTTATGAATCAGAAATATGTTACCAAAGTTGCAGTCCGTGACTTTGGTGCACTGCTGGATCTAGAACTCGTTCCAAAAAAGGATTCTAGGTCATCCGCACTCTTCTGGGGCATTTTATTTTCTGCTTCTTTAAATTTGCTCGTTTTAGCGTTTTCTCTCGCTCTGCCTTCCTTGGACTGATTGACATCTGATTTCCTGTTAGGTGTAGCACGCACTCTACTGGTGGCAAAGTCCTCAAGTTCATCAATTGAAGATGGATGTGAACTTTTAACTGCATCATGAAGCAAAAATCACCAATGTTAATTCACCAAGAGGAAGACGAACCAAAAGGAGTCCATAAATCTCCCTTTATAATTTTGAACCGACCAAAGGGGAAAGGAAATAACCTTTCACTGACTTCAGAACTTGCCCAGGTTTTGGTGGGGGCCGCAATGATGTGGGAACATTTGAAGAGCCAGTAGGTTTTGTATTGCCACCTCCAGAACTTGCAAACTTACTGAACTCCTCAAGTGGATCCAGAAATGAGGAATTTGTAGTGGTTGAAGAAGTTGATTCCAAGACTATAAAGGGATCATCTGCTGAGTTGAAGCTTGATTTAGTAGTTCTGGCATTTTCTCGGTGTCACGCCATGCACAAGTAATAAAGAACAAATAGATTCAGGTCGTTTAATAAAATTACACAAAGTAAACAAAGACAAGTGCCCCTAGTCAAATACAGAATCACTGTTACTACTAACTCAGAAAACGCATGCATATCAAGATTGTGAAGTTCTAGGAAGTGGTTGTGTTACTGATAAGCTATGAAATAAATTGCTGTACGACAAGATAGTAAAAATCTATGCGTCATCCCTCCTTTCTACGATAACAATCAACTTAAGAACAACCTTTTTACACTTCTTCCAGTTCTCTTCATTAGTAAAGTAGAATTCGAAAGATAGATGCCAGCATGAAACAAATGAATGCTATAGAGAACAATTTAGTATCCAAAAGGCGGCATATTTGTGGTCCAATCAGTACAGAGTTATCCAATAACCCTCATTGTGTATCTACGCCACCAACGGTCCTATTTTCAGAGATCTTCCACCACTTCATCCAAAGCCAAAAGTACCAAAATTTCTGAATCTTTAATAGCTTAGGATGTCTCAAAACTCATGGTAGGATCTAGAGAGTAGCAGTAGTCAAATAAAAAGGAAATTCCTTCATTAATTAGTAACCAAATTAACAGGAAACCAACCAAGAAGGTTGACGTCTATGCACGTCGAATTAGTATATGTATTGAGCCCCCAACAAATCAAACGTGTTTATCAAGACAACATTGGCACAATATGTGTTAATTTCTACACAGAGCATCCACATTAAGCATTACATTTATCTCTAACTCGATCCCTATCTGAACAACCAATCCCTAGATGAATATTCAACATCGTACAATAACTCAAAATCACGAGCTCTCATTCCGTAATCAAGCAAACAATTCAACCAAGAAAAGAAGAATAATTTTCAACGTTCCCAAAACAGAAACGTACCCTTTTTCTGATGTCCTGCTCGAATTAAACCCAGGTACCAAGACATCAAACTCGGATGATCCTTTCCTATTCAAGGAAGGACCAGACTTCGAACCAAAATTTCCCAACAAGTCATCGATAGGGACAGTCTGCTTTGGCTTGGAAGCATACGACCCAAACAAGTCATCATTAGTGGAAGCATTGGAGCTCTTCAACCCACCACCAAATATATCATCATTTTCAAGTGACGATCCAGCGTTAGAATGATTGGGCCCAGAAAATATCGAATTGTAATCAAAAGAAGAAGAGCCCCCATTACTCTGCTTCGATCCCTTGTCGAATCCACCAAAAACCTCGAACCCGTCGGTCGAACCTCCAAAGCTCTGAGCTTTATGATTGGCAAACAGATCCCCGGTACCACCGACAGTAAACCCATTAAATGAATTGGAGCCGTGCGCAGCAGTAGAGGTATAAGGGGGCGATGGTTGGGAATTAACAGGCGAACCGGAAGAGAAATTTCGTGTTGGGGCAGCTGTTGCACTATTGGGTCGTTTTGATGCGGCCATTGGAGCAGATTTTCCCTGGGGTTTCAACCCAAACCGCTCGGTCAGAACACCAAACTCGTCCATCTTCAGAAACCAATCAAAAGCAACAGCGCAGTTGCAGGTATGAAGAGAAAGAGAATGGGTTATTATCTCCGATCTATCAACAACCCATTCAATCCACCGCGAGGTTTCAAAGACTATACAAAAGGGAAAAAGAAAAAAAAAAACAAGAAGAAGAAGAAGGTAGAAATAAAACAATTGAAAAAAGAATGAACAAATAGAGCGCGGAAACACAATCGCGCTCTTCCCCGGTTCTAAATTCCCCTCAGTTGGATTGAGAGGAAAATCGAAATGGAGGAGAGGAAGGGGAAAGTGTGAGGTTTGGTTGTGGGAAAGAGAAATGGCGGGAATGGGGAAGCAAGAAGAGGGATAGGAAAATCAGGGGAAGGGAAGAATTTACGGGGAAATCGTGAGGCGAATTTTGATCGCCTTCAATTTGAAGAAGACTTTTGAAGAGAGATTCTATCTCTTGACAACTGGATTTGCTTCTCTCTTGACAACTGGATGCTGAGGATGGTTTGCAAGAGAGTAAATTGACAGCAAAGAGAGACATTGTGTTTGGGTGGAAGGCATTTTAGAGCGCGGTGGCTGCCTACTCGGCTGACAGACACGACAGAGACAGAAAATTTGCGCCTGTTCAATTCTCGGAATGATATGAGTAAGTGCTAGCCCATCACTTTCACGTTTAATTAGCATAAACGGTCACACAACTATTCACTTAGTACAAAATGGTCACTAAATTTCATTTTTGCACGATCCAGTTACACACCTTTGGACGAATACCAAAACGGATATTCCGTCTAATTCCATCCAAAAAACCGTCAATTAAGTCCAGTCAGCTTGACACGTCATCCAAAAAAATAATAATAAATGGACCAATCAGACCCACTTAACCAGTACACCCGACCCAACCCAGTCGTCCAACCCACCCAACCCAAGTCTGACTAATAACGCGAGAAGGGCGACAATTCTTCTCCCATTCGCTTTCTTTCGCGAGGAGGGCGATTCTTCTCCCCTCCTACTGCTTTCATCGCCCCGTCCCGTCAATTTCACTCCCCACCGCATGCTTTCATCGGTCGCCGTGGGTTCTAACCACTCCGGCCGCCTCCTTCCGAAACCTTCCTCCCCCACCAGCAACCTCTCTCTTCTCTTCTGGTCGGACGAACAGCCCGAAGACATCGCGCCACCGTCTGTCTTGTCCCGTTCCTGGAAACAAATCCATATCTGCTCCTTCTGACCAATAATGGAGGAGTGGAAGCTTCGTACGAGTGGAGGTCGGCCCGATTATGGTGAGTAATTCAATAGATTGAAACTTTTACCTTTTTAGGGTTTCAGAACATGGTGGACCACTTGGGTGGGTGTGAATGTCGGTATAAACAATGAAATTTGTTGTCGGGTAGTGTATATGAATGAAAACCAACTGGTCCCCATTTATTATTCTATTGCTGGTGGTTTGAAAGTGTATGTTGACAGAATGGTATAAAGCTATATTTTTGTCTATGGAAAGCAACTGGTCTCCATGTGAAACAACACAAAACAACTTAGGAGACACAGAACTTAAATCTTTCCATTTGTTTTATTTGCAGGAACTTCGGACCTTTTTACCATCGAGATCAACAGCACGGGACAACTTGGTCACATGGAGTATAGTAATGGCAAGGTGGACTACATTGACTTTGTCGATGTCGACAAATTGTCAGTGCTAGAAATAAAGGAGATGGTGAGAACATCAGAAGTGAAAAATGCAATGCAGACTTTTTGGTTGATGCCAGGGGCAGATATGCAGAACGGGCTGAAGTTACTGGAGAATGATCATGATGTGTTGGAGATGGGTTCTCACGTTCCTGAAGAGAGGGTTATCCACCTCTACATCAAGCACACAGATTCTAGTTGTGGCAGCCCTAATACTGCACATATGGTCTATTCTGTTCGAAGTTCGGAGGAAGAAGTTAGGGTGTGTTCGGGTTCAGTGAGAAGGGGATGAGGACATACAGCTAGAGGAGGGAGACAAACACGAGATTCCACAGGTTCATCTCATAGAGAGGACCCACCTGCTGCCCATGTTAATGAAGAAGATGACTTTGATAAGGTATTGGAGAGAGATGATGAGTATGCAAGTGAGGTTGAGTTGGTGGAGAAGACTGGATGGGGCAGCGAAGAAGACGACGATGTCTTCAATGTCGAGACTATATTCCCACAGTTTCGAGCTGAACGGGATATGGAGATGCCTGAGATGAAGATTGGCCAACTATTTGCATCATTTGACGAGTTCAAAGACGCTTGCAAGTCACATGCTGTGACTCAAAGAAGGGACGTGAGATTTCCAACCAACGACAAGAAGAAAGTTATATGTGTGTGCTCAGAGGATTGTGGGTTTAGGTTGTATGCTGCAAAAGGGAAGGACTGTGACACTGTTCAGATTAGGTCGGGCAATCTCGAGCATACTTGTGGAGTTGATGAAGACCTAAGAGCTACTGCGCCGTCTTTCCTTGTGAAGAAGTACCTAACTCGGTGGAGGGTGGATCCATCGTGGTCAATTCTGAATCTGGTGAAGACTGTTATGACAGATTTAAGCTTGAAGATTAATCGAATGAAGGCATATAGAACAAAACAGTTGGCTTTGAAAACAGTGCATGGGGAGGACAGCCTCCAGTTTGCAAAGCTATATGCCTACAAGAAAGAGTTGGAGGCAAGAAATCCTGTAACATCAGTGGTGATTGAACATACCGGAAGAACCTTTGAGAGTATCTACATATGTTTGGGTCCTATAAAAGAAGGATTCAAAGCTGGATGTAGGAGAATTATTGGTATGGATAGGTGTTTTCTGAAGGCTATGCCTGGATGGCAGCTTCTTTCAGCCGTGGGTATCGATGGGGATGATTGCATGTACCCCATTGCATGGGCAATAGTAGAGAAGGAGTGTCATGACACATAGGAGTGGTTCATGGCACATTTGGGTGAAGACTTGGAAATTGACCAATCATCAGATTGGACTTTCATGTCTGACAGGCAAAAGGTAAGTTTACTTTAACTTGAATAATGTAGTTGTTAATGTTTTAGTGCCGTTTGGGAGTTTAATCTAAATCTGAAAATTTGATTTTTTTTTTTTTTGTGCTAGGGTTTGATGAATGTTATGAACTCAATGTATCCTAATGCCGAGCACCGATACTGTGTACGACACATGTATGTGAATTTCAGTGGCAAGTTTAGTAGGTCTAAGAGGCTGAAGGAACTCTTCTATGGAGCTGCAAGTGCCACCTATTTGGCAGAATACAAGGCAGCAATGGAGGAGTTGGAGAAGGTTGGTGAAGGCTACAAGATTTGGGATCAAACACCTCATCAGTGGATGATGGAAAGAGAAAGAACACAATGGTGCAAGGCATTCTACAGAAGAGCTTGCAAATCTGACATGGGAGTTAACAACCATTGTGAGAGCTTCAACAAATACATTATGGAGTCAAGAGATATGCCAATTCTGTCTTGTTTGGAAGATATATTCGGGAAAGTCATGAAGAGAATTGTTGTTAGGAAGAGACAGAGGAGCGTTTGGAGGAGAGAAGAGTTCGTATATGCCCTAAGCCATTACTGAAATTGAACAAGTGTAAGGAGTGGGCTGCTTTTTGCTTCCCAACTTTCAATGTAAACATGGAGTATGCGCAATCAAACGTGTGCTTGTGGTAGGTGGCAACTGAGTGGCATCCCTTGTCAACATGCCATTTCTTGCATGAAGATGAACAAGGATAATCTAGAGTTGGATATGGCTGATTGCTATCGTGTAGAGGCATGCAAGAGGTCCTACTCATATCCTATCCGCCCTCTCAATGATTCAACCCAATGGCTTCACGATGATTGCATCGAACTTGACTCACCGACTTTTGTTGAGAAAAAGAGGGGTCCTAGACAAACAAAGAGACGCAAGGAAGCTTGGGAGTTGGAGAAAACAAAGCAAGACAAGCTGGGAGAAAACAATACAAAGCAATGTCAAAAAGTGGAGTTGAAATGACATGCACTGTATGCAATGCCAAAGGACACAACAGTCGCTTTCATAAAAAGGTTTGAATTTAACAATGATTCTATTGTCCTAACTGATAAATATATGTTTAATGACATGCACTGTTATCCTTTCTTTGTTCAGAATGGTGGAGGAAGCGAGGAACCAAGGGAGGCAGCCCACTCTCCTCAACAGCAGGGAGCATCTCCAGAAGCATCATCTCAAGGAGCCGAGACAACAGCCTTTATGCCTACTCCTGCTTGTCCACCCATCACTCGGTTCAGAACCAAGGTCACAGTTAGCAGGGGTAGGGGGAGAGGTAGGGGCAGATCTAGCCAGTAAAGCTACAACAGTAGGATAGACTTTGATGTTTGGGAAGTATGTTGTGGAACTTGTTTTTGTGGAGCTCGGCAGACTCGATTTTTGGGCATGTTGATAGAGAACTTTCGTCATTAGCCAATCCATGTTAAGTAGAATGGAATGCTTGGTATTTGTAATTGTACAACTGAATGTTAAGTATTGTGTAATGCTTGTATTCCCAGGTTTATATAATGCTAATCTTCATTTCCAGGTCTAAAATGTTCGTACTAAACAGTCTACCGATTTTCATGTTCTATAGTTGTTTGACCATTTTATTACAATGGCAAAAGAATTGTGACCGTTAAAATTTTAAGTGAATTTTTATGTCACCAATTTGTTCTCGACTACAAAGATTTGTTACCATCTTGTTACATATCTGAACCACAACACAAACCTTAAAATTAAGGATTACATATCCAAACAAAGGGTGTACAGAGCGAAAATCAAATTTTTCCTAAACATATCTGCCAACAACAATTCCCACAGTCACACAAATCACTACAAAAATTAGATTTATCAGCCGTGCATACAGATCTTCACTTCGGTTGCCTATTCTGCTTTGTCCATCATTTTGTGCAGTAGAAATAAAAGAAGCAGCGACACTCGGCTGCGAGCTGCACTCACACTGAATCTCTTCCCTCGACTTTCTCTCTAGGTTGTTAATCTTCCTCAAAAGCCTATTGATGACTACTTTTGTCCTAGCTTCAACTGGAGGATCGATCCACTCAAAGAAATCGCAATAGTGAGGGAGTTTATGGAGTTAAAATGAAAGAATGGATAATGATTACCAAATCTTTCCACAATTAACACAAAAATCCAACTAATCCAGCATCCTTACCAAGTACTTTCTCTTACAACGGAGGAACCTTCTACCCGGATTATCTTCTGTCCACGATGTTAGCAAGACAACTCTCTTGACACTTACAATTTGGGAGGGAGCCCATGAGGAGTAGGACCTTCTTTGTGAGGAAGATTTTGAATTGGGAGTTGGTGTTTCCTCCCAATCTGGGATTAGGTTTTCAGAGAGGAGAAAATAAGAAATGAAAGAGAGATTGAGTTATCTTCTCGGGTTGGGTTTGTATTTATATTGTACAGACTTGGGTTGGGTGGGTTGGACGGCCGGGTTGGGTCGGGTGTACTGGTTAAGTGGGTCTGATTGGTCCATTTTTTATTTTATTTTTTTATGACGTGTCAAGCTGACTGGACTTAATTGACAGTTTTTTGGATGGAATTGGACGGAGTAGCTGTTTTGGTAT